ATGTTCCAGCCCAAGCAATGTGGTAGGAAGAGGTGAATTCCTCTTTGCTTTACTTTTGTACTACTCAGATCCTCAGTGGAGCAGGTGTAGCCGCCCCCCACACTGATTAGGGCAATCTACCTACTCATTCAATGGATTCAAGTGCTAATCTCACTCAGAAACACTGTCTAGACTCACCTAGAAATAAACTTTAATCTGAGCATCCTGTGGCCAATCAAGTTGACACATGAAATTAACCATCACAAGTCCACCCCTTATCAACTTGACACCCATATTATGCATGTTATTAAACTAAATATTAAAGGTAAAACAAGATTATAATATCAACTAACATGATCCAACGATCTTGAGTTGTATCAACTGAAAATTCCCTGTTTCCCCATAAGTGGAGTTAAAGACCTTGAGTAATTTTAACTCTTCTTCATATCCTGTAACCTAAATACTATGTTGTAAATATAAAAAAATTTAAATACTATGATATAAAAGCATACATCTTATGTTACATAAGGGATTATGAGATAAAAGTAAACTAAAACACACATACATAGCAAAATAAGGAGGAAATGATCATGATAACTATACTCCTTATCTGTAACTAGTCATGTGGTTGTAACTGGCATTTATAACTACCTTCTTTTACTACCCACTCTGAATTCCCTTTTCTGTCAGTAAGCTCCTCAGGTGGTGTTAGTTCTTTACCTGGTGGAGGACCCAGACACTCAATTCTAAGGGACTGGGCCATTCTTAGACCTGCCTGCATTGGGTTGTTGTAGTTTTTCATTGACTCTAATCGCAGGGCATGGTAATACTGAGAGACGCCCTACTGGATTTCCTGAATTCCAAACATGCTGATACTTATCTCCAGTGTGGAGTACTAGTCCACTTTTTCCTTGATAGACAGAATCAGTTACCCCAGTCAACACGGTAATTCCCTTCTTTGTTGATTCAAAGGCATGAGGGAGTGCAGAGTAGCCAGGTGACAGTATTAATTTCCAATTCCATGAAGCCATTGTTGTGTTCCTAGTGAGAAGCATTTTTCACTCTGGAATTAGGAACTCTAGGCCAACAGAGCAAAATTGACATAGGATGACAAAATGTTGCTAGATGTCTCTACAGGTAATATGAAGTGATGTCACTTGCTTTTCTATCATTTCACTCCTGGGCCCATGAATCCTGTCTGTGGGAGAAACAGTACCATATTTTGGATACCGATTCAGAGCGTCCAAGGTGCGTCCTTGAAGAACCTTGCCCCAGACCTGCACAGTTTTGCCACCTGAGTGGCATTATAACTGAGTCTTCAAAAGGCCATCCCACCATTCTTTCAAGCCAGCTGTCTCAGGATGGTGGAGATCATGGTAGGACCAGTGAATTCTACTAACTTGGGTCAATTACCAAGCTCCTTTTGCTGTCAGATTGAAAAAATAATCATGGCTTTTTGTATGTATATATTCAGTCTCCTTTTTATAGTTTTTCATATGATGGAAACTAACCCACAAATGTAGCCTTGAAAACTTTTAGTCTACCCTGGTTATACAAGTTTACTAGCTTATTGTTCACTTTATAAATTAATTGCAGAAAAATGTAAGTTTTAATATTTCTACTTTTCTGTCTTGAAGGTCCATAGCATCAATTTCTGACCAGTGAATGAAAACTGGATTCCGACTGTTGTAAGAAAATCCAGGAAGTTAAATCAGTAACACATATGCATCTTTTGATTTTTTTCAGAGCCCAATAAACCCACTTGAATTACTCAACCTTTGCTGAACTTCTTGAGTAGAGGTAACTAAGAGGTGGCTATAATTGGAGCATTCTCAAGAGTTTTACTAGATTATGAAAATGTGGGCTTAAAGTTGGTAATCAAAAAAAAAATTTTTTTTGAAATGGCAAGGAAGAAAGAGATTTCTTCTTGATAACTCCAGATTTTAGTTGAGGATGTGGAGGGATCAGTTGACTTATTTACCAATTAGGAATTCATGGTAGGAGGAGTTGGTAAAAGGGCAGCCAACACTGGAGTGGGCCTGGGAAGTGAAAGGGAAATTTGTATTAGTATGCATGGGTCCAAGATAAAAATATTGGGTAATGAATTTTTGCCTGATGTGTTCATTATAATAAATAGGCATGGAAGGCACCGGAATCTATAGTAGATAGAGAAAGTAATGACTGGATAGTAGTGGGAAAGACTAGCATGGGGCCAAGGCACCAGAAGGCAGAATTACTAAGTATAATATTTACTCCCATTTAGGTATCTGTAGAAATACCAAGTACAAAGTTTCACTTGGTAGTCAAGGTGCTATGGCTGTGACAACTCATGAGAGTGGGTTCTCTGATTAAAAAAGAAAAAAATCTCTGAATGAACAGAGTAGTGTTGGAACTTCTCAAATTTGCTGGTCAGGATTGGCATAACAAGTCCACAGGACCTGAAATTTTCTGAGATAATTGCAGTAGTGTGATCTGATTATTAACCTTTCTTGCTCTTTGGCTGGACCATTCTTGGAGCCCAAGCCCAGAGGCTGGGAATCGAATCACATACTTCATTTAGGTTGTGCAGGTTGTGAAAGCTGATGTTTTTAGCTCAATTACCCTTTGAGGTCTTAGCTCAAAGCATTTCTTCATGACTTTCTTCCTGATTAGACCCTCTTCCTAACGACTTTTAGGAAGTATTCACCATTGTGGGCTGACCAATAATTTCTAAATTCCTACCAAAGCCAGCAGTGGCTTATGCCTGTAATCCCAAGACTTTGGGAGGGCAAGACAGGAGGATCACTTGAGTCCAGGAGTTTGAGACCAGCCTGGGCAGTATAATGAGGCCCTAGCTCCATAGAAAATAATAGTAAATTCCTACTGTGAAAACAGCAAGGGGAATGAGGTTGAGCCCAAAGGATTTAAATGGCCAGATAAGGCTCTACTAGGTGAATAAGGAGGAATATCACATTAATGGGACTGTATTTTTTTTAGAATATCTTGTTCCAATGGTTGTATTGGACCTACAAATGTATAGACAACATATTAATATCAAGTCTTCTTTTTCAGAACTATTTCAACCCATAAACAATAAAATAAGTAGTTTACTAAGTATTTAATTTCCTCCCTATAATACTAAATCTGTTGTTGACTTGTTCTTTGTCATATTTTTTTTAGCTTATGGAAGAATATTATTTGTAGCTGTGTTTTCCCTTGTAAATCCCAGTACTGGGCACTCCTGAAAACTTTGCAAGATATTTATGAGATCATGGAACTCACTCTTCTGCTTAAATTCTTCCAGTAGTTACCAATGACACTTGGGATAAAATCCAAACTCCTTACCAAGGGTCTCCCTAGATGAGCTTCTTCCTATTGCTCTGGTGACAGCCATGCATACTCTTCCTCTCTTACGACTCTCTCTCAGGAACATGTTAAATTCCTTCCAAATCAGGTTTTTACATTTGCTTTTCCTTCTTCCTGTAGTGTTTCTCTACAGATCTTTGCATAAAGTTCTCCCCTTCTTACCTTTTCGATTTCAACATAAATTATACCCATCTAAAGTAACTTCCTTATCCTCTGCCCTTTCTCCCATGTGTTTTCCCCATCATACCAGTATGAAATCTTTTATAAAAAATTATTTCTTCCAGAAGTTGACTATAAGCTCATTGACAGCATATTGACTTTTTGATAGCTGTATGCCCTGATTCCACAACAGAGCCAATCACATCATGCATCATCTATAAATATTTATTAATTGTAGGAGGAATAAATTATAAAAACTATATTTATGGTGCATTAGTACTAGGTTAAATCTGCTAAGTCTTATTTTTAATAGTATATGAGCTTGTCACCAGTGTTCCACTTAAATGTATTGCCTATCCTGAGTATTAAATTTTATGTACTATTAAGTATGTATTTAAAATATTGAGGAACATAGTCCCTTGAAATAATATTTCATTCCTGTGAAATCACTACACTGTGGACTATACAAGTAAGCTTATGAAGCTTCATTGAAATGTACATTTACATGTAATATAAAGGCTATACTTATTAAATTTCTTCCTCTATTCTGCTAAATACATACTTTAGAATTTTTCATCTGTTAAATCTTTTGCTTTTCTTTCTCAACGTTTCTTTTTTACTTTTCTTTTGTTTAATTTTCACAAATTATATATTCTAAAGATCTATGAGTGATAAATTGTGAAATTTAATTTTGTAACATCAATATCTTAATTGATGTTTTAAGAAAAGTATCAAGGGAAACAGGGGAAAAACATGCTGTAGATTAAAACTCGTGGTAACCTGTTTGCCCAGACAAGCATCTGAAAGATACTAGGAGGAATGGCATGCTTTTGCCTCCATGCTACGATTTCTCAACACTGTAGTATTTTAGAGTGGATAATTATTTGTTTTGGGAGGATTTTCTGAGTATTTTAGGATGTTTAACTGCATCCCTGGCTTACACCAACCTGATGGCAATATCAGTCTCTTTTCCAGTTGTGACAGCTAAAAATGTGTCCAGACCTGGACAAATATCACTTGAGGGGTCAATCCCCATCTCCCTACTGACTCCTATACAGATAGGATGTGTCATTTTTTATAATTCAATTTTTATAATTTTTCACGGGTGCTTTAGCTCTGGGAATGCTGACACAAAGCCATTATTATTATTATTATTTCCAATTTCATCTCTCTTTTCCAAGAAGGCATACCACAATCTTCATATAGGTCACTTTAGATCATGATGGATTTACTTTCACTTAATCAGGCATAAAACCATATTTTCTACTTGAGTTTTAAATCATAAGGGTAAAGCTGTAGGCCGACTCTATTCACAGTTAACCACCCTCAAAACAGAAGTGAATGTGAAACCACAGATATTTTATTGAAACATATCTGAAGATAAAAATATAGCTCAAGCTTCACAGATATAGGACTTCTGAGCTGAGAGGTCAGTTGGTAGATAGCTGGAGTTATTGTAAAAAGGGTTAATGACTTTTCTGTGCAGCTGCAAATTATTTTACTTGCTCCTATTTCAGGACATCCCAGACATATTGCCTACCCTAAGCACCAGACTGGACACACTGGGAAACAGCCTGGCCACATGGGCTCCCAGGCCTTCTACCCAGGACGTCAGCATGGCTACCTAGTCTCACCAGCTCGCCCAGCTGGCATTCCTGTTCAAAATCAGCCAGGTAGACCTGCAGGGGTACCATGGATGCCAGCACCACCACCACTATTAAATGGTCCACCCGGATTGGAATACTTAAGTCAGGTAATTTCAAATACATAAAATACTCAGAAAAAAAAAAAAACAAAACAACTCTTGTTTCCAGTTTACTAACCATAGTAATTATAGTTTAAGTAATTACTTATTTATTTACTGTTTATTAATTCTGAAATGGTAAATAACACATTCTGTCAACAAATCACTAGTTCTTTTGGGTTCGGTTCATTTTAAAATAAAAATAAGAATGTCACAGGTAATTCTTTTCTATGATCTTGAATATAATGTGATAACAATCCAAAGTAAACATTTATTAAGCACTATTTTCTAGGTTTTATTCTAAGCATAATACATGTATTACCTCACTTAATCCTTACGGAATCTCTATGATGTACAAGCACTATAATTATCACCACCTTACACAAGAGGAAACAGAGGTCCAGAGCAGTTATATAACTTACCTGGATTAAAAACCTAATGAACTGGGGCTGGTACCTTGATTCTGGATTCTGTGCTTTTTAATTCCAATGCTGACTAATTGTCTTGACATTTAAAAGAGATGTACTAAAGTTTAGAGTTAAGTTTTAGTAAGTAGTACCAAAAATGACTTCATATTTTTGTGTGGAATTTGACTCATCTTTTTCTTACAATTAGTAAAATTATATTTTTTGATGCTTTTTTTCTTTGGAAGACCCAATTTTACAAATGTCAACAATAAGGAAAAAAAAAGTCCTGAGCTTTGCTGTACTACATAATAGCTTACCTCAGCAAAGTGAGGTTTAATAATTTGTTTTGTCTTAGAGATCAGGTTGGTAACATAGAAATGTAAAATTTTATATCTCTAATCTATAAACAAGCATTTCTATGATAATCAGAGTTTTCCGTAAACAAATTGTCTCTCTTGTACTCTCTATAATAACTTAATTTCCCACAATGTACTTGCACAGCGAATATTATAAGAGTGTTTACTAGTTCATATTTCTCCAAGAAATGCCCTACAGAGCTTTTTAAAATCAGTCTAAAAAAATATATAGAAGAAATTACTACTTACTGCAATATGATTATGTGAAGTAGACATAAAATGAATAACTGAGACTTATGGAAAAAAACTTATTTAGGGCCAGGCGCGGTGGCTCAAGGCTGTAATCCCAGCACTTTGGGAGGCCGAGGCGGGTGGATCACGAGGTCAAGAGATCGAGACCATCCTGGCCAACATGGTGAAACCCCGTCTCTACTAAAAATACAAAAAATTAGCTGGGCATGGTGGCACGTGCCTGTAATCCCAGCTACTCAAGAGGCTGAGGCAGGAGAATTGCCTGAACCCAGGAGATGGAGGTTGCGGTGGCCGGAAATGCGCCATTTCACTCCAGCCTGGGTAAAAAAAGAGAGACACTGTCTCAAAAAAAAAAAAAAAACAAAACTTATTTAAATTGATAAAATAATGTCTTTATATTTTTAAACCTCATTTAGAAAGAACATTGTTTTCTAACTTTTATAAGGATTTTACTATATTTGTTTATTTTACCTAAATTTATAACATTCATAGTGAATACTTTCAATAAACATATAGCATTTTTAATTAAAAATATGTTAACTTTAGTTTTACAATAAAAAGTAACAAATTTTTAGTAAAATTTGATAATGATAGTTGATAACTGATCATATGCAGTATTAAACAATAAAATATGAGTATTAATTGGTTTTCTATAAAACATTTGACATACAACTTAATTTTCTTTTTGCTATAATAGATAGATACGATACTGATTCATCAGCAAATTGAACCTGTGGAAGGTATGTATTAATTGTATTTCTCATATTTCTAAAAAGAGAAGAAGTTTATGCAAATAAAGATACATCAAAAACTATAAATATAGCATTCTGAATGATGTGGAATGGCAAACCTGATTATTTACGAATGTCTGTCTTCACAGTAATGAAATCCGTAGTCTATTTCTGAATATTAAGAGTCAAATGGTAAAATACAATTGGCCCTTCCTATCCATGGGTTCCACCTGTGTGAATTCAATCACTCAAGGATCAAAAATATAGTTTTAGAAAGTGTACCTGTACTGAGGATATACAGACTTCTTTTTCCTTGTCACTATTTCCTAAAAAGTTCAATATAACAAACTCTTGACATAGCATTTACCTTGTCTTTGTGTATTATAAGTAATCTAGAGATGATTTAAGTAATACAGGAGGAGGTTCATAAGTTATATGCAAACCCCACGCCATTTTATATCAGGGACTTGAGCGGACTAGGATTTTGGTATTCACAGACGGTCCTAGAACCAATCTCCCATGGATACGGTGGGATGACTGCACTATTATGATAAGATCTTCCCTAATGTTATAAACTTTAACGTAGAAGGAATATAGCCAAGATTTACTTTTGCTCCCTTCTCCTTCTACAAATAACTAACGGATTCAATCACTTTACCTGACTTCTAGCATTTCAGCTCTTTTCTCTCCAGTTTGTTATCACCTTGAGAATGGCACAGAGCCACATCCAATATTTTCGTTACCTTGTACATTTCCAAGTGAGTAAACTTTTAGAATTTGGATGGGAGTGTTTTGGAAAATTGTTGTTCCTGCCCACAGTTTCTCTTGGGAGTTCAGATAAACGCCTTTTCCTGATCAACTCTAAATAGCATTGCTTTTCATTATTCCTATGATACTTGGAGCATCATCTAAAAATAGATAGATATTATAATATCTTAAGGTAGTTTCAATAATTTTAACATAAAGGCGACTAATTTTATTTTCATTTATAGTCTTACTCCGTTTTGAAAGTAATAATAAGTATGAAATCAAGAACAGCTTTGGGCAGAGGATTTATTTTGCAGCAGAAGATAGTCATTTCTGTAGCCGAAATTGCTGTGGGCCATCTAGACCTTTTACCTTGAGGATTATTGATAATCTGGGTCGAGAAGTCATAACTCTGGAAAGACCACTAAGATGTAACAGTTGTTGTTGCCCCTGCTGCCTTCAGGAGGTATGTGAGCAATTACTAGAGCCTTTTGTAAAGTAGTTCAGCAAGAATGTCCATCCTTTCATTGAACCTGTATAATCAGATGAGATTTAAAGGAAAATGGCTCCATCAGCTGTATGTTTGGCCTTCCAAATCAATTGTATAAGAAGGAAGGCAAATAAACAACAGGGGATGGTTAGCCTCATGTCCCGCAGCAGTCTGCCTTGTGGGGTTGAGCAATGGTCAGAGATGAGAATTCTTGATATTCAAGGAAAGGTCAGATAGGCACCGTTTTCAAATCATTTTTTTAGAAATGATTGTAAAAGACATGGTCAAAACCAGCCGAGTTGCACCATTGAAAATATCCTAAAATAGCATTCTGGGATCATAGGGACAAAAAGAAGGAAGGAAAGAACAGATGTGTGCATCTCATAATTTTGGCCAACCTACTAAGGGACAAACCTAGGACAAAGTTTTATCTCCTATGTTTTTCATTTCTCCTTTTCAAAATAAAAACTTATATATCTGTGTCATCTGCAGTAGGGATAGCCTAAATGGGAGTATGTTCAGCTGTGTAGAGACCAGATGTCTCTGTTTTTATATTACATGGCAGCCTACTCCTAGAAATTATGAATTTCAGGGAAGACACTAGGGTTCAGAGATGTTATAGAAAAGTTGGTCATTTCCAGGATCCCACTGGCCCAACACCATATCTGCCTGGGTAACTTAGCCTTCCATACAGGTTGCTGTGAGAACATAATACAGTTAGAGATAAAGGCATATAGTTATTAAAGTCTAATACTGCACTTATTTTGAGAGGATAAATGAAGTTACTTATAATGAATTGGTTTGTTTTCCATGCCATTTAGGTTAGGTATAAATATATATTTATAAGAATATCTGAGGAAAAACTGAGAGTTTGATGGGAAATGCTTTATAATTTGAATATCACATTAACATGCATTACACTATTTGATCTTTTAAAAAATTTCTAGGAAGTCCTTACTTGCAATGTCTGGCACTTATGAAATGGTCAGTAAATGAGAGCCATTATTAGATAGGTTTATGATGATTTATTACAGTTACACATATTCTCTTACTTTTGTAGATAGAAATCCAAGCTCCTCCTGGTGTACCAATAGGTTATGTTACTCAGACCTGGTACCCATATCTAAAAAAGTTTGCAATTCAAAATCAGAAAGGAGAGGATGTACTAAAAATGAGTGGTCCATGTATTATGTGCAGCTGTTGTGGTGGAGATGTTGATTTTGAGGTAAGAGATGTAATAATGTTTACGGGATTTGCTTTCCTAATATAAGAATATAATTTTGCAGAATTTTATGAATGCCTTAAATTAGTATTATGTACTGATGTCTCAATAGCAAGATAATGTTCCCATACATTTAACTTTGATCAGAGTGGAGGTTATTACTGTCTAAAGGTCAGTATTGATAATGATAAATGGATAAAAAGAGAAGCAGAGCTCTGTAGTCAAATAAAAATAAGCAAATCATCTAACACTAAAACATGTTGGTTTCTGTGTGGTCACACTATATATTATCCATTATAAATAAAACTTTAATCTCATCATCTAAGTGTGATTAGCAAAGCATATGGATCCTTCCTTAATCTGAAATATAGCCTGCCAGTGCTCCAGGCCATGTCCAGAAGGTCTGACATCTTTGAGTTCCTACAAAAAGCCCAATTATGCAAAGATAGTTTTGAGAAAGTCAGTGTAATATGTATTACCCAATAGTACTTCTCTGTGGTCCCTTCTTTAACCCTGTATTAAATTAGGTCATTGGAAACCATAATATATCTCTATATTTAATTCCTGCATGAATTTCATTACAGCAGTTCTCCAACAGATAGCCTAGGCTTATAATCAAATTATTTAGTTGCAAATGTTTATCAGAAGATTTTATAACTTAATCTTGATTTCCTGATTCTCTTAGAAAAACAGACAATTTGGTAAACTGGGCCCATAGTTCTACAGAATGAGGAAAAAATAATCCTAAAGTTGAATAGGGCTACCTCACTTATGATTAGATGTGGGAACTCTGACAGTGTCCCCATATCTTCCTAAGGTTTTGCACTATCCGGTTTCATTCTCTTGCGTCCTTTCTTCTCTAATAATATAGTTTTTAATTCCTCTATTAAAATTTAGTTACATAAAAATGAATTCTTCCCTTTTTCAACTTCATAATCTGATGACAGAGATGGGCAACTCTAAGAAAACACATGTGTTGTAGAGACTTTAAAATGCTTTTTTAAAGGGATACATATATATTTATAAAATATATGATTATATATAGTGTATGCTTATATACTATGCATATGTGCATGTGGGTATATATGGGTGTGTGGGTATGGGAACATGTAATGCGGATGTACAGGAACCTTATGTAGGGATATATATAATAATAGCTCTCTTTTTATGCACATAAAAATCCAGACAAGTGAAAGATTATTTCTTCTTCTAGGAATGATATTAATAAAAGTCTAATTGGAATGTAATGTATTCCTACGAAATGAATAAAACACTAAAAAATTGTGAAACATTCATATTTAATACTAAAATATTAGATTTCATTCAGCAGCTCTTCAGTTCTCTATGTCTACAGATACCAGATTCTAAGAGTAACTAATAGTCATATGATTAGAGAAGGCAAAAAAAAAAAAATGCATATAGTAAATTTTATACAAATGCTGAGTTTGTAATTTAAAAGTACCTTTTCAGTAACTATTCATAAATTGTATGCTTTGAATTATGTAGCTGTTCTAGTATCTTACACATTATCTTAATATAGTCTTTTGGTATTTACCTAGTTCTATGTGCTAGTGGCCTGTTCACATTTTTCGCATTTACATTGCAAATAAATATATAGTTTTCTTTTTAGACTATCTTTACCAACTATTAGTATTAAATTTACAGATTTATAAATTTTATGCTAATATGATACTCTACAATTCTTTTTTAAACTCATACGTCTGATACCAAATATGTGGATATTTTTTTCCCATATCAACCAATTCTCCTTCTCTACAGACATCAACTGGGTTCCCTACAATTCAAGTTTAATTCTGACACTCACTCACCTGGAGTTAATGCAGACACCACAAGTTAAGGTCTCACAAAACTATTTCCTATTTCAAACTCCAACCACAAATGCAAGACCTCCTGTACACCTAACCAACTGTCTATAAATTAGGGTTCTGACAACCTCCTCCACAGGTTTGACAATTTGTTAAAACTATTTACAAAATTTAGGAACACACTTTATTTATGTTTCCTATAAAGGATACAAATGGATAGCCAGATGAATAGGTTAATAGAATGAGTTCTGGAAAGGTCCCGAGCAAAATGGGATCTGTCCCAGTGGGACTGGGGTAACCCTCCTTCATGGCACGTGAGTTCACCAATCCAGAAAGTCTCTGAACCTGTTGTTTAGAGTTCTTAGAAAGCTTCATTATGTAGGCATGATTGATTTAAGCCATTGGCTATTGGTAAATAACTCCAGCTGCAGCCTTACTGTCATCTGTGGAGGATGGAGAAAGGACTGAATGATTCAATCCTCTAAGCATTGCTTGGTTTTCCTGGTGTCCAGCCTGATACTAAAGCTATCAGGAATCCCAACCACCAGTCATTTTAGTAAACAAAAGATTTATTGCTCAGAAGATTCTAAGGATTTTGAAGCTGTATGTCAGGAATCTGGGACAAAGACCGAATATTAAAACAAGACTCAGGCCAGGCCTGTAATCCCAGCACTCTGGGAGGCTGAGGTGGGTGGATTACGAGGTCAAGAGATTGAGACCATTCCGGCTAACATGGTAAACCCTGTCTCTACTAAAAATACAAAAATTAGTTGGGCATGGTGGCGCCCACCTGTAGTCCCAGCTACTCGGGAGGCTAAGGCAGGAGAATCGCTTGAGCCCATGAGGCAGAGGTTGCAGTAAGCCGATATTGTACCACTGACTTCAGCCTGGCACAGAGCAAGACTCCATCTCAAAAAAAAAAAAAGACTCTCCTATCACCCCTATCACTTAGAAAGTTATGAGAGTTTTTAAAATTCTGTGTCAGGAAACAGGAAATAAAACCTAAATGTATACTTCTTACGATGTTATAAATACCAACATATTACTTCCAAAGGTTGAAGTAATTTTACTATATTTTTTGTTTTGTTTTTAAAATGTCATACAGAATTTAGCTAAAACTATCTAGACTTTATAACTTTTTCATAAAAATTATCTAGACTTTATAATGACCTGTATATGTAGCTCATTATTTATATTTCTAATCCTCCGTTAAAATTTTATTTTCTACTCCTTGTGTAAATTTGGTGAATTTTTAAATTTCTTGTTATAGCAATCAAGATGGAGAAATATTTGTTAAATCTAGTAATAGGTTTATGGTAGCTAGCAAGTTACCTTCAGCATTTTTTACTTTGTAAATATTTCAAAATTCAAATACATTTTTAAACAAAAATATAAAGTTTTCATTATTAGTCTCAAATGCTTAGATGATATATGTTCACTATGGATATGTAGTAACAGAGGGTAGCTAGGCCATGCTTTTCTAGTGACTATTTACCTGAGACCAAGAGCCAGACCAAACCACTTACTCATATGTAAGGTCACTGCCCATGTTATAGCTGCTAATATTCCATAGGTCAAACATGCCACAAGGCAGAGCCTAATTATGAAGAAAGAGGAAAATGCTTCAGGTTACAATGGGAGGGAAAATGAATATTTGATGAAGAGTAATGCATAGCAATCACAATTTTATATTAGACATTTATTTCACTTTTTTAAAAGATCCTACTCACCAACACTCAAAATGAATCAATTGTTTTTAGTTTCCTCACATTTATCTAGCTGGTTACAACCAGAGGCAATGGATTCAAAAGGTGTTGCTGACATATGTGACCTGTATAAGTAGGTCATTATTTATATTTCTAAACCTGTGTTCAAGTTTGAAATGACATTCCTGACTTGGGTTGACATAACTCTTACATGTAGTTTGGTGAATGTTAGCTACATGCTACATTCAGCCACTACCTGCACACCTGGCTAGGTGTTTTTGTCTGAGCACACTGCTTTCAACTCTATATGATGACCCTTAGCTTTCTTCGGCAGAATTTTTACAATTTTTTTTTTTTTTTTACAAAAATAGAAAAGTTTTATATTGGAGATCTTTTCTACCTATTCTTTTTTTATTCTTCATACCCCACTAGTTATCTGGTCTTGCCCACACCCTCGGCTTGAGGCATCCCATCAAGTTACTTATCGGTTGCTTTTCTTCACTCAAAACTGTCAGTCTTTTTTTCTAGGTTCTTAGCATTTTATGTTTTCCTACTGACAGTGGGTGGTAGTGAGGCCTCTCTTCATATTTAAATATTCAGCTGTGTATACTCTCTGTGCTTCTCTAAAAAGCAGAAGTCTAATAGGAGTTTCGTTTAATTCCTTCCTGATGGCTTCTAGAAATTATATTAAAGAAACTTTTCAAATTTATATCCTTTTCAGCTTAAATTTTGTTTTGGGTCAACTGAAATAAATAAGACATATATTAACGTCTATCTTAATATAAAATAGAAAATGGTTAAAATTTCAGTAAAACCACTTTTATATAAGTTTTCTATACAATAGAACCATATATAACTATGACTATATAGGAGCCTATGTGTATCTAACATCACATATTTATATATCCATAATTATGTATGATGCATAAATGTAATATAATAATTGCTTTATTTTACTCCAACTTTAAAAGTACTTTTGCTACAAGTTTCCTAGAAACGTTTAAGATTTTTTTTTCTTTTTTGCCATTTAGATTACATCTCTTGATGAACAAATTGTGGTTGGCAGGATTTCTAAGCACTGGACTGGGATTTTAAGAGAGGCATTTACAGATGCTGACAACTTTGGGATCCATTTCCCTAGAAACCTTGATGTTAAAATGAAAGCCGTGCTGATTGGTGCCTGTTTCCTCATTGTAAGTCTATTCCTGCTAATCTTGGTTACAGATGGCTTCTCTAGGAGCATTCTGAAATAATTCATTATACATTTTAAGATTACCATTTAAAATGTAAAGGTTTTATAAAATGTTCCTATTTAATCCCAGCTCTGGAATTTTATAGGTGATTAGTTTATGTCTGAAGAGTCTACATACTTTGAAATGGCAAGAGAATAACTTTATATTCTAGGGAGAACTTCTGGTTTGAGGGAGGGTTATTAAAAAATCAAATATGTTATTAGGAGAAAAATGTAAAGCTAGTCTTACATGGTATAAAACTCAGTGAAACACAGAAGTTTCATCCTGACTCATTAAATTAAGACGTCCAACATGGGATTATAAAGTACATTAAGAGTATACATTCAATCAAGCCTCTAGACCTATCAATTTATAGGAAATACATAGGGTAAAGCAGTGATTCTGAATGTCTCTTTATGTTAGAATTATCTAGAAACTTTTTAAAAACTCTCAAGTATCAGGCTATTCCCCACTTCAACTAAACTAGAAGCTCAGAGTCAGAAATTTGTATAGTGCCCCAGCTAATACGAATATGCAGCCAAAGTTGAGGTTTATAGAAACAGAGCAATGGTCTTCAACCTTAGCTACACACTAGAAACACTTGGGTAACTTTCAAACTCCTCACATCCAGATTGCATCCAAATTTATTAAACCAAATTCTCTGGAGTTAGGACAAAGTCTTCAAGCTGTTTAAAGCTCCCAGGTGATTCCGATATGCAATCAAGGTTTGAGATGCCAGATATCTTAAACATGAGTTTGGTGATGTAATCAGAAAACCTTAACAGATAATGTACAGCAAAAAGGACCCAGCTCTTTCAACAAATAAGTGGCAATGAAAATAACAGAATAAAGATTAAACAGGGGAGGCTGAAGAAGATGGCTGAATGGAAGGCTCTCGAATTATCGCCACTCTAAATTGAACAACTGTCCACATAACAAAAAGCAATTTCCTAAGAACTAAAAATCAGTCATGATCATTGTACCTGGTTTAAAGATTATATTAAGAAAAGAGGCACTGAGGAGGGTAGGAAAGACAAATTGCCTAACCCCCTCCTCTTTTATACCTGGCAGTGGATACCTGGTGGAGAGAGATAATCTGTATGTTGGAGGAGGGAGAACACAGTGATTGTGGGACTTTGCATTGGAACTCTGTGCTTCCCTGTCATAGCAGAAAGTAACATGAGGCATGGCACCCATGGAGACAGCATTTAAACTAGTCTTAGCCAGAGGGGCATTGCCCATCCCAGCATTCAGGACCTGAGTTCTGGCAAACCTTGCTACCATGAACTAAAGTGCTCTGTGGTTCTAAATAAACTTGAAAAGCACTCTAAGCCACAAGAACCACAATTCCAAGGCAAGTCCCTGTGCTGTGCTGTGCTGGACATGGAACCACTGGATTTATGGTGCATGTAACCTTGTGAGACACCAGCCAGGGCAGCCAAAGGAGTGCTTGCATTACCCCTCCCCCAATTCCAGGCAGCACAGCTAGCCCCTCCAGTAGAGACTCCCTCCCTCTGTATGAGAAGAGGGGAGGAGACAGTAAAGAGGTCTTTTTCTTGCAACTTGGGTCTTTTTCTACCATTCAACTACAGTAGAATAGGGCACTACTCACCTACAGTAGAATAGGACACTAAACAGAGTCCTGAGGGCCCTATTACAACCCTAGCACCCAGATAATGTTTCTAAACACACTGCAGATCAGAAGGGAACACCCTGCCTTGAAGGGAAGGACCCAGTCCTGCTAGGACTTATCACCTGCTGACTAAAGGACCCTTGGGTCCTAATGTCTGTCTTATTGGTAGCCAGGTAGTACTTGCCATGGGCGTTAGGGAAGACTGAGATATGCTTGCTTCAGGTGCACCCAGCACATTCCCAGCTGTGGTGGATATAGGGAGATAACTCTCCTACTTGAGGAAAGGAAAGGGAAGAAGAGAGAAGGTTTTGCATTGCAGCTTGTATACCAGCTTGGCCACAGTGGGAGAGAATACCAAGTGGGCTCTAGAGTCCATGATTCCAGGCTGTGGCTCCTGGATGGCATTTATGGACCTATACTGGACCAGAGGGAAGCCCATTGCCATGAAGGGAGATATTCAGGACTGGCATAATTTACCACAAGCTGACTGAAAGGCCCTTGGGCCTTGAGTGAACATCAGTGGTAGCTAGGTAGTACTTAACATCAGTGGTAGCTAAACAGTGTGTGTTGTGGGCCTGGGTTGGTGGTGGCCAAGGGGAAAGACACTTTTTCTTAAGAAAATGGGAGGAAAGAATGGGAAGAATTTTGCCTTGCAACTCAGGTTCTAGCTCAGCCACAGAATCGAGCATCAAGTAGATCCCCAAGGTTCCCAACTGCAGGCCAAGGCTCCTAGACAGCATCTGTGGACCTACCCAGGACTAGGGGGGAACTTGATGCCCTGAAAGGAAGAATACAAGCCTGACTGGATTTGATACTTGCCAATAGTAGAGCTCTTGGGACTTGAGTAAACATAGGTAGTAGCCAGGTAGTGGTCACTGCAGAACTTAGACAAGAACTAATGCTGTGCTGGCTTTGGGTCTGATTCAGTGCAGTTCCAGTGGTGGTGGTCACAGGTGTTTTGTGTCACCCTTCCCCCCAGATCTAGGCAGCTCAGCACAGAGAGACTCCCCTTGTTGGGGGAAAGTCAGGGAAGAGAACAAGAGTCTGCCTGTTATTGCAGATATTGCTTCTGGATCTTAATACTGCCAAGGGATTACCTCTGTGAGTCTTGAAGAGCCACAGAATTACTGGGCTTGGGGTATCCACTAAAGTATATATGACGGCAGTAATGAAAAACTTAGATCAAACACCCAAGTCCTTTTGAATGCCTAGAAAGCCTTCCCAAGAAGGATAGGTACAAACAAGCCCAGAATGCAAAGACTGCAATAAACACCTAACTCTTCAATGCCCAAACACAAATTAACATCCACAAACATCAAGACCATCTAGGAAAACATGACCTCACCAAATGAACTAAATAAGGCACCAGGGGCCTATCACAGAGAGACACAGATATGTGAACTTATGGACAGCAAATTCATAATAGTTGCTTTGAGGACACTCAACAAAATATAAGTTAACTTAGAGGAGAAATTCTGAATCCTATCAGATAACTTTAACAAATAGATTGAAATAGCTAAAAAGAATCAAGCAGAAATTCTGGAGTTGAATAATGCAATTGGTGTATTGAAAAAGGCATCAGGATCTCTAAACAGTAGAGCTGATGTAGCAGAAGAATGATCAGTGGGCTTGAAGACAGGATATTTGAAAATACAGTCAGAGGAGACAAAAAATACAAATAAAAATCAGTGAAGCTTGCCTAAAAGTTCAAATTAGAAAATAGCCTCAAAAGGGCAAATCTAAGAGTTATTTGTACTAAAGAGGAAGTAGAGAAAGAGACAAGGGTAGAAAGTTTATTCAAGGGGATATTAACAGAGAACTCTCCACACCTAGAGAAATATATAAATATTTAAATACAGGAAGGTTATAGAACTCCAGTCATATTTAATCCAAAGAAAACTACCTTAAGGCATTTAATACTCAAACTCCCAAATGTTGATGATAAAGAAAGCTTCCTAAAAGCAAGAGGAAGAAAAAAAAAAAACCCAAATAAAAGCAAGCTCCAGTACATCAGGCAGCAGACTTCTCAGACCAGAAGAGAGTGGCTTTACATATTTAAAGTGCTAAAGAAAAGAAACCTTTTATCATAGAGTAGCATATCTAACAAAATTATCTTTCAAACATGAAGAAGAAATAAAGACTTTTCCAGGTAAACAAAAGCTGAGGAATTTCATTAATACTAAACCTGTCCTACAGGAAATGCTAAAGGGAGTTCTTCAATCTGAAAGTATATGTTAACAAGCAACAAGAAATTATCTGAAGGTATAAAACTCACTAGTAATAGTAAGTACACAGATAAACACAGAGTATTATAACACTGTGATTGTAGTGTGCAAACTAGTCAGATGTTAAGTAGATGATGAACCTATTAAAAATAAAAACCACAACAACTTTAAGCCATAGACGGTATAATAACATATAAATAGAAACAACAACAATTTGAAAGTGGGAGGGTGAAATTAAAGTGTAGAGTTTTTAGTACTTTTCTCTTTGTTTATGCAATCAGTGTTAGGTGTCCATGAGTTTAAAATAGTGGGTTGTAAGATATTGTCTGCCAGCCTTAGAGTAATCCGAAATCAAGAACATAGAAAAGATATATACAAAATCAAAAGCAAGAAATTAAAACACGCCACCAGAGAAAATCACTTTCTCTAAAAGAGAACAACAAGAAGGAAGGAAAGAAGGAAGAGAAGATCACAAAAAAACCAGAAAACAAGTAACAAAATGTCAGTAGTAAGTCTTTACTTATCATTAATGACATTGAATATAAATGGACTAAACTCTCCAATCAAAAGACATAGGATGATTTAATGGAGAAAAAAAACAAAATGAAAACAAGACCCAATAATCTGTTTCCCTCAAGAAATACACTTCACCTATAAAGACACACATAGATTGAAAATAGAAATTGAAAAAAATTCCGTGAAAATGAAGAGCAGGAGTAGCTATACTTATATTATACAATATAGATTTCAAGACAAAAACTATAAAAATAGACAACAAAATCATTATGTAATGATGCAAGGGTCAATTTTGCAAGAAGATATAACAATTGTAAATATATATGCACTCAATACTGGAGCACCCAGTAATAGAGAGCAAATATTATTAGAGGCAAAGGGAGAGATAGACCCCAATACAATAACAGATGTAGACTATTTCAACACCCTACTTTCAGCATTGGACAGACCTTCCAGACTGATAATCAACAACAACAACAACAACAAAAAACCCACATCAAATTGGATCTGCACTATAAACCAAATGGACCCAATAGATATTTACAGACCATTTCATCCAATGGTTACAGATTACACATTTGTCTCCTTAGCATATGGCTCATTCTCAAGGATAAACTATGTTAGGCCACAAAAAAGTATTAAAGATTATTTAAAAAATGAAATTATATTAAATATCTTCTCTGACCACAATGGAATGGAACTAGAAATCAATAAGAGGAACTTTGGAAACTATATAAACACGTGGAAATTAAACAACATGCTTGTAAATTACTAGTGGGTAATAAAGAAACCAAGAAGGCAATTGAAAAGTTAATTGAAACAAATGATAATGGAAACAGAACATGCGAAAAGCTATGGGATACAGCAAAAGCAGTACTAAGAAGAATGTTTATAGAATTAAGCACCCATATCAAAAAAAGGTAGATAAAGTTCAAATAATCTAACAATGAATCTTAAAGCGTTAGAAAATCAAGAGCAAATCAAAATCAGAATTAGTTGGAGAAAAGAAATAAAGTTCAGACCAAAAAGAACCTGAAATTTTAAAAATATAAAAGATCAACAAAGTAAAAATTGTTTTTTGGAGAGAGAAACAAAATCAACAAACCTTTAGCCTGATCAACTAAGAAAACAGAAAAGACCCAAATAAATAACATCAGAGATGAAAAAGGAGACACTTTAATTGATACTGCAGAAATTCAAAGGATCATTAAAGATGACTTTCACCAACTATATGCCAATAAATTGGAAAACCTAAAAGAAATGGATAAATTCCTAGACACATATTATCTACCAAGATCGAACCATGAAGAAATCTAAAACCTCAATAGACAATAAGTAATGAGATCAAAGCTGTAGTAAAAAGTCACCTAGCAAAGAAAAGCTTAGGAACTGATGGCTTCAGTGCTGAATTTTACCAAACATTTAAAGAATAAATACCATCCTACTCAAGCTACTGAAAAATAGAGTGGGAGGGAAAACATGCAAACTTATTCTGTGAAGCTAGTATTACCATGATACCAAATCCAAACAAAGTCATATTTAAAAATAACTACAGGTTCATATCCCTGATGAACAGTGATCCAAAAATCCTTAACAAAATACTAGCAAGTCAAATTCAACAATACATCAAAAAGATTATTCATCATGACTGAGTGGGATTTATCTCAGAGAAACAAAAATGGTCCAACATACGTTTTGGATATAGCCACTTATCAGATACATGGTTTGCAAATATTTTCCCCAGTCCCTGGGCTGTCTCCTCATTGTGTTCATTGCTTCCTTTGCTGTGTGCAGAAGCTTATTAACTTGAGGCCATTCCCTTTGTCTCTTTTTGTTTTTGCTGTCTGTGCTTTTTAAGTCATACCAAATAAATCATTTCTCAAGCCAATGTCCTGGAGAATTTTTTTCTAGTTGTTTTACAATTTCAGGTTTTACATTTAAGTCTTTAATCCATTTAAATTTGACTCTTGTATATGGTGTTTAATAAGGGTCAGATTCCATTCTTCTGCATGTATATTTAGTCTTCAAAACACTATTATTTAAGGTTACTGTCCTTTCCTCATTGTGTGGTAGTGGTACCTTTGTCAAAAATCAATTGATTGTAAATGTTTGGGTTTATTTCTGGGCTTTCTATTCTGTTTCATTGGTCAGTGTGTCTGCTTCTATGCCAGTACCAAGCTGTTTTGATTACTATATCTTTATAATAAATTTTGATATCAGGTAGTGTGACGCCTCCTGCGTTGTTTCTGTTGCTAAAGATTGCTTGGCTGCTTGGGGTCTTTTGCGATTCCATACAAATATTAGGATTTGTTTTTCTATATCTGTGAAAAATTCATTGGTATTTTGAGAGGGATTACATTGAATCTGTAGTTCCCTTTCAGTAATATGGACATCTTGGCAATATTAATTATTCTAATCCAGAAACACAGAATATCTTTCTATTTATTTGTGTCTTCTTTGGTTTCATTCATCAGTGTCTTATAGTTTTCAGTGTACAGATTGTTCACCTTTTTGGTTAAACGTATTCCTTAGTACTTACTACTTTTTGATGATGTTGTAAATGGAACTTTTTTCTTAATTCATTGTACATGGAATGAATTCTAGTTACAAGAAGAGTTATATTACTAGAAAGGGACTGTAAAACATTAAATAAGAAAGATGAAAAAGGATGATTTCAAGGAGGATAAAAGTCACATTTACATAAATTATTGTAGGATTAATTAAGTTAATATGGTGTCAATAAATAGAATTATAGAATTTAATTTCTATAAAAATAGCTGAAGGTAGAGATCTTATCTGTAGACTTCCCTACATTTACTTATTATAGTTAGTTTTTCTTATTTAACAGACAATTAACTTTGTTTCATCAGATCCCTTAGCATTTCTACATCTGAGAATTGATCTCTGTTTGCTTTCTGAGAACTTATTTCTGTGTATTTTTTTTTTTTTTAATCTAGGACTACATGTTTTTTGAAGGAACTAGGAATTGATTGGAATGTCAGAGTGTCAGAGTGGATTAATGTAAGTCTCCTTAGAATATTTGAAGTCTGTATATTGACTGGGATTATCTAAAAGAAAAATTCAGTGTTTTTTTCTTTCTTTATTTAAATTACATATACTTGTGTGGGTTAAGCTGTGATGCTTGTAGCTCTGAGTATATAATTTTACTTTTCAAATTCAAAAATTTGTTTTATTTATCACTGGCTTATAAATGTTTTATACACTTTATTGGATTATTCTTTGTATATTTGGAGAAAATAATATAGGAAGTTTTAAATTGAGATACAAAACTTCCTTTAAAAGACTACTTGAATTATAGTCTGTGTTTCCAAAGCAAAAACTAAAGCCTAATTAAAGTAGTTTTAATGTATAATTATATTTTATTTTTTAAAACTAGTTATAAATTATTTTATATGTAAATTAATATGCAAATATTAATATTAATATACTCATTAAACAACTTAAAAATTGACACAATTTCAGTTTCTTTTACCATACTAAATACTTAATATACATATTCTCAAGTAAAAGTAAATGTGCTTTTTTTTTTTAATTTTCAGGAAAGCACACTATATTTGACTTATCCTATCAGCTAATCTAGTACTATAAATAAGATTTTTGTAATGACTACATGAAATATTAGCAATTTTTATGGTTTTCAGTGAATAAAGAAAGACATGACTCTGTGACCTTATCCAAAAGACAAACTTATTCGAAAATTTGGTATTGTTGTCACTTTTGAAGTTATTTATTACTACATGGAATGGTTAGCTCCTGTATTCTGTCATTCCTAGAATATGTTAGTTATAAGATTAATCAGGTGTAAATTAAATAAAAAATATGTGTATCTTTACAGAGCACACTTCATTAGTGGTCTTAGGTTATTTATGCCAAAAAATGAAATGCCTAAAGTAAAATTTATTGATATAATTTTTGCATATTTTATTTTTGTTATTAAAAAAACTGTGGATAATCCATTAAGGTGGCATTTTCGACCCTACACATTTACCTCCTATAAAATGACCTTTAAAAAGAGCACAGCAAAAAAAAATAATAATAATAACTAAATCATTATTGGAAATAAAAACAAAATGAAATTACTTTCTTATAAAAATAAATTAAATGATTTGTTTTTATTTGTTTTCAATTTTTAGGGATTTAATTTTCTCTTCTAATTTTAATTTTGTATATATTAAGGATCTATAAATTTTTAAGGAAAAATTCTACGGTAAGATATATATGAAAGTCTACATAAGTACACAGAGATGTTTTCATTCCTTTTACTAGTTGCATAGTATGTCATTAAGTAGCTGTGTCATAGCTTCTTCAAACAATTCCCTACAATTGGACTTTCATTTTCCTTGAAATTTTTTGCCATTCCATGTAAGTGTTCATGAATAAACAGGCATACATATTTTATATTTTTCCTAGTGCATATTTGGAAGCGATTTGAAAAGTGGAATATCTGTTCAAATTACCCTCCATAGAATTTATTTCTCTATGAATTCCCATCAGCAATTTAGAACAGTGTGCAGTTGCCCAGAGCCATTCAAGTATATATTATTCTATTTTTGTGTTGTGTCCGATATGTTATCCTGTCATAGTTTAAATTTTTGATTGTCTCACTTTCAATAAAATTCAGCATTAAAAAAAGGGGGAAGACATATAATATTTTGTAGTAAAATCTGTATCAGTGTTGGAAACTAGGATTTTCACCTATCAGAAACTTAAGGCATTTGTAATCTGTTTTGTAGGGAAGATTGAATTGAGAGAGGAAACAGCCAACCCACAGTTGACTTCATGCAAAAGAAAAGTGTGCTTAGGAAATATGGGCATCCTTTTCATCTTCAGCAAACTTTTCCAACAGCCACTCTCCCCATAAGTGTTATACCAGCAGAACTCTACCAAAGCCAATAGGCCCAAATGACAAATGTTGGATGAGAACATTAGTATGGCAGTGGGGCTACAGAAAAAGCAATATCTAGATGACTTCCCAGCAGCCTAAATAATTCATCAGATGCCATTTTCCAATGATGAAGTATATTCAGGACACTCACCTCTAGCATATGTTTAGTACAGACAGTGTGCCAAGTCAAGTGGAGGTATTTGTATTTGACTTTAGTTAGGCCAGTTAGAGAAGGGGAAGGCTTGCAAAGATGGCAGTCATGTAAATACAACCCAACATGAGGATTAGAGGTACTGACATTATTTCTTTTATAACCATATCTTACTTTCCTTTCTTCTCTCTCTGCATAGGAGTCCGGATCTTTGGCTAGACAAAATAAAACTATAACTGATCTATATGGTTCCTTCCTTCTTCTACTCTGCAAGAAAGACATCAGGAAAAATTTGCACACTATCTGTGGAACTCGTTTAAATTCAAATACTAGATAAATTTTTTTTGCATTAAATATTCACATAGAAAAATCATCAAACAACAACAATTATCAATTTAATTAATAAAATACTAGGAATTGCAAAAAAAAAGTCTTAATTTGAATCTTAGTGAGATTTGAGCGAATGGTGGTGTATTTGTTTCTGAAACAGACAGAAAAAAAGAACATTCTGATGTGCCAAATTTTAATAAAATTGAAAAATATGATGACCATATTTTAAAGTATGATGGAGGCACTGGAACAACAGATTGCATAAAGTAGATAGCTAACACAATAAACTAAGAGATAGGTTTTGGAAATTCTCCCAGAAGTAAGATTAAACGCTAAATATAAAGAAAAACACTAAGACCTAGAGAATAGATATATTAATTTCAAGTCATGCACAATAAGAATTCCAGAAGCAGAAATCAGATGAAGGCAAGAGAATATATTTTTAATGTAAAGAAAATTTATTTGCAATCAAGACAAAACAAAGTCTTGAAGTTAATGGATTTGCTATAAAGCAGACAAAAATGAATGAAAATGATACGCTTTTAATTTTTTTTTTTTTTTTCAAAAAAACAATCATTAGATGCCTAAAATATGGCAGATATTGTTAGGTAGTAATAGAATAGTTTCTGTGGCTTAACTTCCATAATATACCCATATTCTCGTTTACTGTTGTTTCTACCTCACCTAGAGCATTTAATCAAATTTAGCACACTTTAACAGCAGCATTTAAAAGAACCAAAGGATTTAGAACATAAAGATGGATTATATAAAAGTGTTTTTGTCCTTGCCGCCCATTTTCCCATACCCGCCTTTGAGTGGAGACCTTACCACTGCAGGAATTTTTTCATTCAGCATGATGTGACTTATACAGATATGGTGTCTTAGACTCATTCCTAACAATGGCTCACTTTGCCCATCTTTCTTACCTTGAAAAAGCAAAGGAAACGCATCACATCTCAGCACACCATTTTGCCCACCAACCTAAATCTTGGCTTCTAGATACTATTTTCCACTCAAAGCAACTGGGGTTGTTTTGAGAATAGTTGACCCCAGAATTTTGGTAGGGAAAAGTATAAGATAAGCTTTGCACAACTTGTAGAAAATCAAGGAGGTACTCAAGTATGGATGCTGACATGTCAAAAGGATAAAGGAAGGAATGTGAAAGGGCTCTCACCAACAAAATCAGGTATATTATTACCTTCTGAATAAAATAGGATACAGTAAGTCCATACAGATATTCTTATAAGTAAATAAATAAAGGTTGTATGAAGATAATGATATACATGGTTTCAATTTATTTTCCCCAAGATTCTTTTAATTTCAGAGGGAAAATGTGTAACATGTTAGTGTCTAGCAGCCAACTCTATTAAAGTAAATTTAAAATAAAATGATTAAAGTAGACATCATCAGTTATGGGATAAATTAAAATCAAGTACCACCTAATAGGATGCACTAAGACACAGCATCACATGGATCTTGATATATACAGGATAGAAGATAATAGAGTATTTTTTTTTTTTTTTTTTTTTTTTTTAATGCTTGATGTGCTTGCCTATCCTGTGGTAAACCTTTCGGCCTGCGAATTGTGTTTATCTAGTCCATGACTTGGCTTACTGTAAAGTATGTTGTACAGTTATCTTTGTTGCACCGCAGGCTTCATATTCTTCTAGTGATAACATCTGTTCAAGATGTAGGCTACTATGCCAGAGGGTTTTACTACATGTTTGCTCCTCGGAGATAATCTGTATCTTGCAGCATTCTTAGCTGTAATTCACTGTTCTTTCCACTCAATTATTGTTAGTTGGTGGTGGGAGATGGGGGACAGAATATTCCCTGGTGTTTTGGTTTAAGCCTCCCTCTTAAGCAGGCACACCCCAATTCAATGTAATACTGAAGTCACAGACTGTGGAGTCTTAGCCAACTTACTTCTTTAATCATGTCATCATGCAGCAAGCATTCGCTAAGAGGCCAGTGCTGGGTAAAAATCTGAGTTGTGTCTGGGTATGTTTATGTGAAAGGAGTTGTGGGATGGAGAAGAGAGAGTTGATAAAACTTTCAGGCAAAATATATTGAACAAGCAGACAAATCTAATGATTTTGGATAGAAACATATTAGAGTAAGAAAGTTCTGAGGAAGCTCCTTTCATGGCCCCTTCCTTAAGTGGCTTAGTCAGGAGAAACTACTTAAGAGTATTGTCTCTACTATTTTCCTAAAAGAGAAAGGACATCCTTTACACGGCCCTTCCTTCTCTCACCCCTCTGCTCCCACACCTTCGCTGGAAGTCAAGCATCCTTGTCCTGAGCGGCAAGGCAATGAGTGAGAAGTTTATTTTCCTGCTGTAGGAGGGCCTAAAACCCAAGATAGGAGAAGTTTGGGTGCTTGCCTCATGCTAGGACCTTGTGTCACTCTGGGGTGGTTGTGACAGTGAATGGAGGATCAGTGGGTATCCCTGACTGGGGGTAACATTGAGGAGGAGGAGTTGTGATGGTTGGGGTATGGAGCTGTGTTGTGTCTTGCGAAGGAATTTCTGGGTACACAGATCAGTGGGGAAGGGGGAGAATAAAGAGGAATGGAAAGAAAAAGGCTAAGACATGTGACTGCCTGACCTGATCACCTCTTGGGAGGAGACTTGGGAATGGGGGAAAGTGAAAGTGTAGACTGGAGACAAGGTTGAGGATAGGAACAAAAAAGAACACATAGGCAGTTAAACTGCAGAAAATCACTGTGTGGACTCTTGGCATCTAGTTAATTAGCATCTCTCTACAACTTAGATTGTAGTTTTAGCTGAGTTTGGACTCAAAAGGAGCTATTATAACTGTAATTAGAAAAAGCTCAATAGAGAATTGCTGCCATAATTTAAAGATAGAATGATTTAAAATGGTTCTGGGCACAATTAAGTGCTGCTGATGCTGTGAAGTGCCAGAAGAGTGCACAGAAGTTCTCTCTAAGTCCT